AGGTGGTCGATACTGAAGGAAACACATTTTTCTCTCTCAAAAAGACCCTAATTTACCTATACTATTAAATCTCCCGGCCATGGCCCATCTGACCTTGCTGTAGCTCTGCCGGCGTGCAGGCGAGTGTTTGTTGCACTTCTCACAATGGCTCTTCTGAAAATTAGCTGAGATCATGATGTGTTGATTGATTAAGCTTAGCATGCAGTTTTCTAAGTCATGTATACGGGTATACATTCACTCCTATGAACACAAACATGCACACCTTACCCATATTAGCACCTTCAAGACTGAGCCGACATATCATTTTAAGATTGACGAAGTCATCACAGGCGCCTCGTAGTCGATGAGAACGTCTCCTCCCACTAAACACGCATCTCTGGCAACCCTGAAATAAATTTAATATAATGTGAGCACCATAACTTGAATCCTGGTGGGCTAATGATACCACTATCCTCCTAACCATTCAGTTACAGATTGGTTCGCCTAAGTCATCTAGATCAACGTTTTTTTCTTGGCGCATGTTCATCCAGAAGGTGGCCGCATAAGAGATGGTGCATGTGGAACAACGCGAGTGAGCGCTTAGGCTTTCCGCATAAATAATGACAAAACCTGCACACAATTTACACATAAATGTGTTTTTTAATACACATATAATAATGGAGTTTTTGCAAGAAGCAATTGTAAGAAAGAATGAATTCGTGGCATTGGTATTACCTTAAATTAGAAAGAAAATAACATATACAAGTTTACACAAATTTAAAATAAGGAATTTTTGTATAAAGACTGAATTGGTGGTATTGATATTACCCTTTAAAAGATAGAAAAATTATGAAATTTCCACACACTTTACACGGAAATTGTGCTTTCTATAATACCCAAGTATAAGCATATAATAATGGATTTTTGCAAAAAAAAATGTTTCCTATGAAGGAATAAATTAATGGATTAGTATTACCCAATAAGAAGGAAGAGAATGAAATAAAACTACAAAAACAAATAATGAATTAGTGGCATTGCTATTACACTTATAAAATAAAATATTGAAAATAATCAGTTTTTCAAGAAATAATGAATTATTAGCATTTGTATTACTCTTGAAGAAGAAAGACAATAAAATAATCTAAAACAGGAAATAACAAAATCTGCACATAATTTACAAAAAGTTACGCTTTTTATAGTATGCAAGAATAATCATATAATAGTAAAACTTTCACACCAAAAAAGTTTCTAAGAAGTAAAAATTTAGTGCTAGCGGTATTACTCTTAAAGAAGAAAGGAAATGAAATAAAAGCCAAAACAAACTCAAAACTATGAAGTTTTCCACGAAAGAATAAATTAGCGGCAGTGATATTACCTTTTTAAAGAAAAAATGAACCTAAAAAAGAGAAATGAACTAGAAAAATTCAAAATAATGAAGTTTGCAAAGGAAGAATGAATCAGTGACACTGATATTACCCTTGAAGAAGAAAGAAAAAAAATCTAAAACAAACAATGGTAAAAACTAAATACAATAAACATAAAAATTGTGCTATTAAAAACATGCAAGCTTAAGTATATAATAGTGGGATTTTCACAAAAATAAATTTTCCTAAGAACAAATGAATTAGTGGCATTGGTATTATCATAAAAAAGGAATAAAAATAAAATAATAATAATAATAATAATGAAATTTATTAAGGATGAATGAGTTAGTGGCATTGGTATTACCCTTTAAGAAGAAGGAAAATAAAAGAACTGGCAAAAGTTTTGTAGTGAAATTGCACTTTTTATAATTTGCAAAGGATAATCATATAATGGTGCATTTTTGGCGCATATTGTATAGTTTTTATGTGTATACATTTACGCTCCCAATATCTTGAAAATAGCCAAAAATAAAACCGATAGTTGAAAAGGAAAAACAGAAGAAAAAACACATAAAAACTAAAAAAAAATAGGAAAACAAATGGAGAAAGAGAAAGGCTGGGTTGCATAGATAACGGGTCGCGGCCCAATAAGAAATGAACTGACCGAAAACTCTGTTCATTCGACAAAACCAAGGCCAAAAAAGCACAGGGAAAAAAACAGAAAAAGGATGCACTCAAAGCATAGATCAACGACTAGTAAATGGACTAATCCAAATTTAATTTTCAAGCGACTCACATATAGATGGATTAGTTAAAATTTCATAGTTGTATCAAAAAAAGTTTTAACTTTTTGACCCAGAAACTCTAGAACAATTGTTTATATTAATTAAAATAAGTAAAAAGTTATTTAATGTGCAAACTACAAGCCTAAAGCTATCCAATTCCAGTTTTTCTAACATGAAGAAATTCCAAATTCTAGTTACTTTTGTTAAACAAAGCAAGCAATACATTGGTCAAGACAATTAATGTGTTGGGATTTAGTTCTGATCCTCATCACCAGCATATCTTGCATCAGTTTGAATCTCGAGGAATGCATTGAAGGTCATTTATTCTCAAATATCTTGCCATTTCTTTGCATCTATAAATTTCAGCAACCCATTATAATGATATCCATAACAATCTTTTTAGGCAGGGCAGATTTCAAGAGTCTGATCTCATCGAAAGTAGATATGCATGGAGGTCTTCGTGGGATGATAGTGTCCCAGTAGGCTTGCACAAAAGAGCAATTCCATAGCCGATGCAGGGTATTTTATGCAAGTACATGATCCAGTAACTCTTCATGTGCACACCCTTGCGCTTAAGGAGATTTCTGGAGTTAAGTCTATCATGCATAACTTACCAGAAGAAAATTTTATGGCTAGCAGCTTTCCAAAGCCGTTTGAAAATGATGTGAGCCTGACATTGATCAATCAAATGGTTGTACATTTTCTTGCATGAGAATTGCTTTGAATATCAAATATAAGCCCAACAATCATGCTCAAAAGTAATAGGGTGGTGCACCAACAAATGACTCAGATTCTCAAACTGGTTGAACGCCTGAATTGACAGAGGTATGTGGAAGCTTTCTGTGATGTCTGCCTGAAACAACAAAACCACATATGATGAGTTTTGGTTAATAGCAAAAGAGTACAATTCAGAATATTGCACTTTGAGTTGTTGATCCTTCCATTTGTGTTCCCAAAATAAAGTTAAATCTACAGATGGCATAGAACATGCGGCAACCTCTTTGAATAAGGGAAGCCGCTCTAGGTGAGACTGCCACCAAAAGGAGCCCTCAATTCTACCACATGGCCTCAGAATAGTATGATTCCGAGACAAGCTTGACCCATGACAACTCTTCCTTGTTGTAAAACTTGTGCAGATTCTTAATTAGGATTCCCAATCCTCCATGGCTTTTAGGCTTGTAGGTCTCCTTCCAAGCAATTAAAGCAGGGCCATATTCTTCTCCATGAACAAAATATGAGGTACTTATTAATTGTTGGGAATCGTAATACTCCCTCCATTCCCTTATACAAGGTCACAAACTCATATTACAAGTACCAAGATAAAATTTAATGACTCCTTTGCAAGTCAACTTTTCTTTTCGTTAACCGGGATCATTAATACACCACAAACATGCATCGAATGAATGGGAATGAAGTGGCTGAGTGTCATTATGACTACATGCATGTAAGTATTAAAAAGTTGCTAGTTCAAGGAAACATCATTAATTTTTGCCTCGATTACTGTTGATGGCCTTGTATTGATGCAAAATGTATTTTTGACAGTGACCTTGTATAAGGGAATGGAGGGAGTAGAAAAAACCCGTCATAGGAATCAAGAATCATGATCACTACGAAGATGCATACAACGTTAGATCTGACCGTTACCAACTTCGAGTTACAGTGGAAAAATAGTTGGCATAGGTCGTTCTTGAAGTCTCTCGAACCGTCCCACAAACATATCAATATTTGTGTGTGTGCTTAAAGATATCGGTTCATAGGCCATTGTGAGATTACATCTGGAGGCTTAACTGAATAAGTAAGAGTAACAAGAGGAAGATCTATACAAGAAAGCCTTTTTGGCCAAACAGTGGGTAATAAGATTATTTTTATCCTAGGAATATGTGTGACAACCTTGTAAGAGTTGAGGTAGGAAGTAATATTAAATAAATTTGCAAGTAAACGTCTGCCCCCCCAATGTCTGTCTTTCAAATAAATTCTTCGCTTCAGCGGCATCAAGCAATATCATGCAATCATAATGGAAAGATATCAAGTTCCATCCCAAAGCCTTAACCATCGAAGCAGCCAGGAATAAACCCATATCTTCTGCCTGCAAAATAGAGAGAGAAAACATTTAAGGCCATCGCTTGAATGAATAGTGAGTGGTTATTCTCTTCATTCCTTATGAACACTGCAAAGGAAGCTTCGTTTCCCACCACCGCAGGATTAAAGGCCGCATCAACATAAGCCAAGAAGCATGTAGATAGTTTTCTGTTTGGAAAGAAAATCGTTTCTAGACTTCCAAATGTTCCATAGAAGAGTAAAAATGTAGGCTATGTTTAACAGTTTAAGTGGAGCTGCTGAGAGGACAAGATGAGCAGAGGGATACAAATTAGTTAGTAAGTGTTTGTGCTTAATTAGCGGAGCCCGGTAGACTAAACGGAGCACTTGCCACCCCTGAATCTACATGGCCGTGCAGGAATTTGTCATCACGTCCAATGTAGGCAGGTAAATATGCACCAAATCCATGAGCCGAACGAGTATAGTATAGTAGATCATCTTTCCGTACGTTACGGTTCATCATCATCAGTAGTAAACTGGGCAAGTCGCCGCGCAGAAACGGCAAGGAACGGGCGTAAAAACGGAACGTGTTTAGCCTTTCCTAAAGGCCCCAGACCGCGTCAACCCCCGCCCAATCATACGCGCCCACATGTCCTCCTCCCCTCCCCGCCTCCTCCTTTATTAACCGCGCCACCTCCTCCCCTGCTTCCCACACGCCCCGGCTCCAAAGCGCAGGCCTTCTCTTTCCCCACACCACACCACCCACCGGCCTCCTCCCACCCGAACCCCCATTAACCCCAGAGGAGAGATCCCCCGTCCTCTGACGCCAGCGGCCATGTCCGTCACGCGGGTTCTTGCGCTGCTTGTCGCGGCGGCGCTGGCGGCCGCGGCGCCGGCGCGCGTGGGCGCGGCGGGGGCGTGCGCGGCGGAGAGGTTCTCCAAGAACCGCGTGTACGCCGCCTGCACCGACCTGCCCACCCTGGGCGCGTCCGTGCACTGGACCTACGACCCGGCGGCCTCCTCCCTCTCCGTGGCGTTCGTCGCCGCGCCGCCCTCGTCCGGCGGCTGGGTCGCCTGGGGCCTCAACCCCTCCGGCGACGGCATGAGCGGCACGCAGGCGCTCGTCGCCTCGCCCACGGGCAGCGGCGGCGCGTACGGCGTCCAGACGTTCGACATCCAGGGCACATCGCTCGGATCGCCGGGCCCCATCGCCTACAAGACGTCCGACCTCGCCGCCGAGGTCGGCGCCGACGGCCGCGTCCAGATGTTCGGGAAGCTCGCGCTCCAGAACGGCACCGGGGAGGTGAACCAGGTCTGGCAGGTGGGACCGGCGTCGGGCGGGAGCATCGGCATACACGCCATGGCCGCCGCCAACATGGGGGCCAAGGGGAAGCTCAACCTCGTCACGGGGGCGACCACAGCCGTCAGCGGAGGCAGCATCCTCAGGAAGAAAAATGTGAGCACTCTACCCCGGAATTTATTCATTTGATTCCACATTTATGTCTCCATGCTCAAGTTTTTCCTTCCTTTCGAACGCTTCAATTTGGCAATCGTAACGCAAACTAAAATTGGACGAGGAGAGATATTCTATACAGAAAAAACTTGAATTGCTGGCAAAGTAATGGGGACAATTTTCACCTTTTAACATAAGCTCTAATTTTTTTTAGTATCCAACTTTTCTACGAGTGAGTAACTGTAGCTGTCGAAGCGGTTTACTGCAATGTTTAAACAGGAGTAAACCGCATGAACTAGTGGCAACAACATGGAAATACAATCAATTTTGTATGCTTCTAACGGACACCTCACAAGAAAACTGTGCCTGTTTGCCATGTGAAATCTCACATGCATATGCAAGATTTCAACTCTAGTGCCCCGGTTGGTTTGAGTTGACTTGTATCTGAACACACATCAGCTGTATAATTTCCTCGTAAAGTTGACTCTGTGTGTCACATGGTTTTGTCTGTTCCATGCACTTTGAAAATTTACACACTGGAGCTGATATTTCCTTGCCTAGCCAGTAGATTTCTTCCTGCCTTGGTGGACTTTACCCTTTGATCAGTCTAATTGTTGATAGCTACATTTGCTTGTTCATTCATGGCATTGAGATGGAAGTATAAAACAGAGCATACTGAAGTAGGAGTACTAATTTTATCAAAACATTGTCATCCTTACCCCTGTTTTTTTTTCTGTGCAGACCCATGGAATTCTGAATGCTGTGAGCTGGGGGATTCTTCTGCCAATGGGAGGCATAGTTGCTAGATACCTCAAGACATTCAAATCAGCCGACCCTGCCTGGTTCTACCTTCACGTTGCTTGCCAGCTGATCGGGTATGCTGTGGGAGTGTCTGGCTGGGCCACCGGCATTCATCTAGGAAATCTGTCCAAGGGAATCACCTACTCGCTTCACAGGAACATCGGGATCGCCGTATTTGCTCTCGGTACCGTTCAGGTAGATGATCTCCACATTCCCAATTCCTCTCTCTATCATCTGCTAAAATTGAAGCATTTTTGTGCAATGCCAGTTGCCTAGCTGAGCAGAGCTTACTAATGCTGTGACCATTTCTTTCTTGTGCAATAGATCTTTGCGCTGTTCCTGAGGCCGAAGAAGGATCACAAGCTGCGGGTGTACTGGAACGTGTACCACCACTCGGTGGGCTACACCATCATCATCCTGGGCATCGTCAACATCTTCAAGGGCATGAGCATCCTGGACGTGGCGCAGAAGTGGAAGACGGGCTACATCATCGCCATCGGCATCCTGGGCGGCGTCGCGGTGGCGCTGGAGGTGATCACCTGGGCCATCGTGCTCAAGAGGAGGAAGACGGAGGACAAGGCCTACAACGGCGGCGCCTCCAACAACAACAACGGCCATCTGCCCATGTGATGCGATGTGATGTGATTCTTTCTCGGTGGCCGGAGTCTGTGGGCTGTGTTGAGCTGAGCTGCGTGTGTGTGAGCATGGATTGGCAGATGCTATGTAGGTTAGGGCCGGGCCTTAGTGGCCTTCGTCTCTCTGTTTCTTTTTTTATGATGATGATGATGATTGATAGATGTGTGTGTATAGTACTGCTGCACATTATATTAGTTATTATATACTGGAATGAGAGAGGTGATGCCGGTCGATGCATACTTGGGTACTTGTTGTGCGTGCATTTTGGTACGTTTTGGTCTGAAGTACACTTGTTGTGGCATATGCTGTGTTGATGATCATCATCACCCACTTGTTTTATGGGGCCATTTAGCCATGGCCTGTTTTTGTGATAGCCGGGAGAGGTGTCCCGGTGGTGGTGGTGGTTGGTGAAGCAGAAGCAGAAGCCGGGAAGATAGAAAATGTTTCTGCCAGTGAGTGGAAGCATGATCTCTCTAGAAAGGAGGTGACACGGGCAGCAGGCGTCAAGTACACTGAATTTGTTTCTTCAAGGCCGGGGAAAGCGAATGCAGAGTTCTTTCACTTTTGTATTCCCCACAGGACATTTGGTTGTTTCTGGTGCTAGTGTACGTACAGTATGTACTATAACTTTCCCACTCCGTGAGTGGGCCTGCTGGGTGGCGGATCTGTCCATACGTGTCCCGGTACGAATGAACAAGATTGGCAGTGGCGTGCAGTGGGTGGTTCACTTGAGCCGAGAAGAGAAGCGAACGGGTGAGGAATTGGAGAGGGCGTGTGTGGCGCTAGATTCAGTGCAGGTCGATTCATACATACGGACTTTCTCGTGACAGAATAGCTTGTGGCAACCGCAAAAAGAGTACGGAAAGCCAAGATGGAACATGGAGACGTGCCGCCTAGCGCAAAGGATCGTTTGCAGGCTGCAGCGACCCATCGAGACATACATTGATTGATATCGCTGGTTAGGCTGGCTGACGCCGCCTTGTCCCTTTTCCATTGGCGGCTTTGATGCTGGTATATTTTCATGCATGCAAGAGGACCATTGTTGCACCTCGCTTGTTGAACGGAAGATATGCGAGCAAACGTTCGCCTAGCGCGAAGTCCCTCATGGGATCGCGCTGTCCCTTGTCCATTTGCGGCTAATGCTATACACTACAGGACTTATTTTCATGCAAGAGGAACGCTGTTGCATCTCTGCGTGTTGAGCGGAGAATACGCCGGCACGGCAATGGCCCAGACCCCCAAGACGCCACCGCGTGTCAGGCGGAAGCCGCCGAGCAGAGCAGCACGCACGCGGCGCATGCTGCTGCCGAGCACCAGATTCCAACGGCATCTCGGCTTTTCTCCCGCCAGTCACCCTCAGCCTCATCGCGGCGGCGGGAGAGCTCGGAGCCCGTGGCTGTCGCGCACGCGTAGCTCGATCGCGCCGCGCCGCGATCCGAGGCCCGTCCACGCCGCGTGCGTCGACACACCGTGAACGTGAAAGATTCTTCCGCTCTTGTCCGTCCATTGTATACGTTCCTAGTCGGAAGAGGGAGGATGATTTAGACCGCCCTTCTGGTTGCAACCTTACCCGCGAAATTTGATGGGCATGTTTCGCACGGCACGTACGCTCCAAAAGAAGACATGAATTTTCAATACGTACTCCAGGAGTAGTACATTATCTGGGCGTGCAGTGCAGACTACTCCGACAAGTCTCACTTTCCAGTTGGTAGGAACGGTCTAGACTCAAGTTCCAACTCAACCCATTGACGACTTCCTTTAACGAAACCAAAAGTTTTGAGGGATAGTAGACCACAACATACTAAGAGCATTACTAGTAGAACTCTAAAACCCTCAAATCCTTAAGGGCCTCTTTGATTCGTGGGATTGTAAAAACATGGGAATAGGAAAAATATAGGATTGAAATGTCATGCTCATCTCAATTATATAGGATTTTTGGTTGTTTGATTGCATCATAGGAAAAACAAAGGATTCTTTCAAAGAGGTTTGAGTGGATGCTAGAAATCCTATGGGAAGTGGTACAAAAAATTCCTTAGAAAAAATTCCTATAGGATTCAAACCTATGAATCAAACAAACAACATAGGAAAAATTCCTAAGGATTTTAATCCTTCAAAATTCCTATGCAAATCCTTTGAATCAAAGGAGCCCTAAAGCAGTTTTAAGGGGTGAGAAGTGCCATTTTTTGACACTCTTAAGGGTTGAAAAACAGGGGCAAATACTAGAACCCTCAAATCCAACCCTTAAACTGCTTTAAGGGTTGGATTTGAGGGTTCTAGTCTTTGCCTCACCCCCAACCTTTAAAACTGTCATTTCACATATCACACATTTCATCATATGACATACCACAAATTCCATCACATTTAACATAAAACAATAATCATTCTAGTTATTATTACACCACCGAATGGTCCAACATTAATCAAATTACAATGTTTTTAGATCTAAAGAAGAAACATGTCCTTGTTTAATGGTCCAACAGATAATATAGATGAAAATTTTAGCACCAATGTCTGTCTTCAAACTATAGATATGCTAAAAGTAAAGCTTGGTGTGACATACAAATATAGCAATTATCAAAGTTTGACGATTTTATAAGGACAGACAAATTTGACCTTGTTCTGATACTTCAAAAGTACCGTTAGTGCAACTGATTAGTGAATGTATACCTTGATCATTTCTCGAAAACCTCCTGACACAAGAAACATATTGCTTTTCATAAACATGTGGATGAACCAAGAACTAGGCCTGCTCGAACTCATTGACGCAAAGCATCAAACAGCTCGTGGGCATGCGCCGCGCGATGCAAAGAGTGGCAAACACCGACGCCGGACTAAAATTAAGCTCCAAGCAAGGGGGGCACGAAGAAATTCATACGAACAGCAGGCAACAGCATTGAGACGTGGCCTATGATTTCTTCTCTGCCGAGACCAGCTTGCTGAGTGCCTGCTACCGTGGCCGACGTCCGCGCCCTCCTCACGCTGAGCCGCGCGCGCGGCCGCTCGCCTCGCCCTGCTCGCTGCGGGCTGCGACGGTGACGAAGGGACGGCGCGGCGCATCACCTCTGGCGGCGGAGGGCGGGCAGGGGCGGCGATCCGCGCGGAGAGGAGGCGCAACCGTCCGGGGCCGGGGATGGACGCGGCCGAGGCGTGAGGCACCGGCGGGACGGCGGCGGGCGGCCGGATCCGCGCGGCGGCGGCGGCGGCGCGGAGGTTGGGGAGGATGAAACTTCCCTCCCGCGCGTCGTTGCTAGGATTGCAGGTCGACCCCTGTTTTCCTCCCAAACCTTCACTTCTACAGATTGGAGATGTGTTTTCGGGTTGGGCCTCTAAAAATATTTGAGGGTCTAAAGGTTGAAGGGATCTAATCTACGCACTTTTTTTCTATCCAAACTATAAAAAACAGTTATTTTTACAGATTTAAAGGTTTAGGGGTACTACTAGAAATGCTCTAAATGCTTGATCATTGAAGCGAGTTCAGTGAGATTAGCCAAACCCAACTTAGCCACAACTGCTCTTTATCCTCTATACTAGGTAGATAGACTAGATGCAACTAAACTAATCCGCAGTTTCGCAAAAAAAAAAAAACTAATCCGCACCAAATTTTGACCAAATCTGTCTGTCGCTAGGTAGGCAGTCCACCAGATTTGACCTAGCCTAACTGCTCACGCGGCGCCCCTCTCCAATCTTCCGCACCTTGCCAAATCACAAGCCCAAGTTTTTTCTTTTGGAACCTATAAATCACAAACCCAAGTTAGTTTTCCGTACGAATGCCAAATCTTCTATTCAGAGCTGAGGCCTTGAGTTTTTAGCTTGTCAAGTTGGTTCCGCTTGCACTTGGCTAACCACAGCCTTTGGTTCAGTTGGTGGGTGCAGAGATTGCCTCCTTCTCTCAAGAAACTTGTAGGCTAGACTTCAGAGGGAGAGTTGAGCTGTGTTTCCTGAAAATATTCAGAGCTGAGGCCTGAAGTGGCTACCAAGCATCAACCGACTCTCATAGTAGATCATGATGCATGGGCATGGCAGAAGCTTTTAAGGCTTTGTGAAAGGTAGCAGCTGTCGCTGAGCCAGTAGTACGTACCAAGTGAAGTTTCGGGCTTTCGGAAACTGGATACGTCCCAACTTCTCAACAGCAGGCAACACCATTCTTTCATGTATGTATACAAAGCACTTCCACATCACACGCACTCGTCCACAAAAAACAAGCAAAAAAAAAAAAGAGAACTAACTACAGATTATGCCCTATAACTATAACTATGCACTTCTTCTTTGGTTGCACGAAGAATGGTGAGGCTGCATATGTACAGCGTTAACAGTTGAGCAGCCTCTCTCTGATTTTTTGGGTAAGCACACTATTACCTCACCCCCTATACAAAACTTCTACTGCATGAAACAAAAAGAAAGGTGTTACACTGACGGACTGAACTGCACGTTCTTGGCATGTTCACTCTGTTTGCTCTGCATTGCAGATAGCATTTACATTTTACAACCACATAGTATCACGTCAAATGTCTCATGAGTTATGGTCACAAAAAATTTCTAAAAAAAATAGCATCACAAAACTCTCATGAACAACATGAGGTCATGCAGGATGCAACCAACCTTGGGTCATTGGGGAAATCGAGCAAGATGTGTTATCCGCGGCCATGCCCTTGGCCAGCCTCCTCTGTTGCTCCGCTCTCGCCCAATCGTCGGATAACTGCAGCCGCACCAACCTTCTTGAATTTCAACTTTGATCCACCACCATGGGTCACTGTGTGTGACTCGATAAGTGATGTCACGCGTCCAGCAGCTTCCTACAGCCCACCGACACAAAACCTGCCACCTCCGTCGCAATCTCCTAGCTACACTCCCTAAATATATAGTCCAACAAATTATAATCCCGCATCATGCGTACAGGAGCAGGAATACAGAAGAATTCAAATACTTGGGACTAATGAACGACGGCAATCTGGATCCGAGATATGGGCTTAGCGGCTTGCTTGAAAATATCTATA